GGGAAGGGAAGGAGGGGTTTATTTGGCTGCAGTGGGTGTTGTCCATTCTCAGTGCATTCAGAAGAAGAGAGCCCCTTCTCCTACCCCCCCCCCGCCGCCGCCTCCATACCAGAAGGCAGGATACTTGCCTGTTCTTCCCCAGGGCTGGGGGAGGGGGCAGCTGTACAATTGGCAGTGAATTCTCCCCTCTTGATCTGGGGATGCGTAACCCAACTCTCACCCTAATAAAGCTTATCGACTCCCAGTTTCACAGCATATATGAATAACGAGCAATCCGTTACGGATGGAGCTTGATGATCTATGGCTGACCCGCATAAGGCTGGAGACCAGAGGCAAGCAGCTCATACCGCTTGGACAATGGAGATAGAGTAGTTCAAGTGTATAATCTTACTTCCTATGCTTAAAATAAAATCTGGTCTACAGTTGACTTGAGGATAGTCAGGTGAAGATAGCCAACCAAGCTTCTTTTTAAAAGGACCTCTCACTTACATATTACTCTTTAAAGCTTCAGTGAAACAGCTTCAGTTTTTCTGACAGAAGGCAGAGAGAAGCCTTTGAATGGGGAAGTGTGCTATCAATTCCTGCATAGGGCCAGCTGATCAAGATGTAGAAAAGGAGGGACACTGTAGTGCCTTAGCCATAGGACTATAAAGTCACCTCCATTCAACCTGAATATTCGTGCTGAAGGGAGAATTAGGCCAGTTGCAGTTAAGTCTTCTTCAGCTTTTTCAAACCTGGGACTCACCTTAAGTCCAAACAAGCATTGAGGGACATACTTGTTTTGTCCTTTTGGCCAAGCCACAACCCAGCAGTGATTCCCAGTGCTCCAGCTGAAGGGGTGGCACAGTGGTGAAGAGTTGGGACACAAGCAAGGCAGACTCAGGTTCCCAAAGGCTAACTCAGCCCATGGAACTTAGAGGGTGTCTAGATGCCAGTCACCCTCTCTGGTTAACCCCTCTCTCAAAAGCTGTTGCGAGGGACAAATGAGAAGAGCCTTGTTCATGCCACCTTAAGCTCCACGAAGGAAGGGTGAGATACACACCGGCAACGGCTATCCAACTATAAGCCTCTTGCTGGCTTGTTCACATTTTATACTTCACTTTGACATCAGCATACCATATAGGGTACAATGGCTTAACCCAGCCTTTGCTAACTTGGTGTCCTCCAGATCTACAACTCCCCCAGTGTCCGAAACATCTGGAGAACACCAGACTGCAGAAGGCTGGATTAGCACAATATCATTGCATTACGATAATAGAAAACAAATGAACAAAAACCACAACATTGTCCTTTGCTGCAGCACCCGCTTGGAGATGTAAACAGAAACACACATTATCAGTCTTTTTGTCCGCAGAGAGGAAGGTCGCCCCACCCTCCCAGCTGGGTCTGTGGGGCGGCTAGGCTAATGACACAGCACCTCTGTCTCGAACTGCAGGAGCTGCCCCATGAAGCCAAAGTTGGGAGAGATCACCCCACGGCGCTGCTTGACAAAGTCGAAGGCCTCTTCCAGCCGCACCCGGCGGCTCTGGATCAAGTAGGCAAGGCAAATGGTGGCCGAACGGGAGATGCCAGCTTGGCAGTGCACCAGCACGCGCCCACTGCTGTTCTTCACCGAATCTGCAGGAGAAGCAAGCAAGAACAGCCACGTAAGAGACAGCCCACAAGAGCAGCGCAGCCCTAGAGCCAGAAGCAGCCATATCCAAGGAGCAAGGTGCATTTATGGGGCAAGGGGGCCATTTTTGTTGCCTGCATGGTAGGAGGCAGGACGTAGCTTAGTGGTAGAGCATCTGCTCTGCATGCAGAAGGTCCCATGTTCAATCCCTGGCATCTCCAGGTAGGGCTGCAGCCACTGCCAGCCAGTGTAAACAATATAGATCTAGATGGGCCAATATTAGACAGCTTGCTGTTTTCCTAATCTATAAGAAGGGGAATCTTCTACCAAGTTACTTCTCAAAAGAAGGGTGGGGGGGAGTGCATCTGTGTGTTTGCTTGGCATTCTGTGTGGTACAGCTTTGGAGGTCAACCCCCAACTGTCTACAAAACCGTCTTGTCACTCACAACATTAAGCAAAATAGAGGTTCAAAGCATATCACAGGAATAGCAAATCTCTCAAAATCTCTTCCACTATCACCAGGGATAACTTAATCCTCTGGAATATGAGGCAGGTATGGATAACAGTTTCTCTACCACACATCTGCCCCCGTTTGTGGCAAAATCTTCCCTACAAAGTGGCAAGATGATGCAGACAACCAAGCTCACCATCAGGGAATGAGAGTTCTTTGCGCAGAAAAGGTTTGCCTGACTGGTCACCTGCACTTACCAATGAAGTCAATGGCTTCCTGGAACCACACACTGATCTCAGCCATGTGGTTGTCTTCCACTGGGATGCTCTTGTACAGGAACTGGCCTTCGAAGTAGTTGGGGCAGCTGGAGGAGACGTTGAGCACAGCAGTGATTCCGAGGGACTCCAGAACCTCCCGGTTGGAGGAGTGGTAGCAGCTGCCCAGGTAGAGGAATGGCAGAATCTCCACTGGCCCCCCCTGCAGAAGAGAAAGAACAAGGAGAGTGCACCCATCAGCCTTTGTGCCAAAATAGGATTGATGGTGAATATTGTCGGGATGAACCAAGTAGTGCTACTATTATGCTATCAAGGTTTATTAGTAGATTAATAAACTAAGCTGATAATGCCAAGGTTGCAGGTTCAATCCCTGTATGGCACAGCTGCATATTCGTGCACTGCAGTGGGTTGGACTAGATGACCCTCAGGGTCCCTTCCAACCCCACATTTCTATGATTCGATCATTTAGTTGGTTAATGGGCAAGAGCTTTGAGCTGAAGACACTTTTGCTTTTTTTAAAAAAAGGTTATTTGAGTCTTGTATGTTACTGCAAAGGGGAGGAAAGAAAAAAACATTACAGATAACCCTTCTAACAAAATTGTTGCTGATTAAACTATAAACTCTTGGACTTCCTTGGATATCTTCACAACCATCTATATTGAGGCTTTGGTAATACGCAATTGTAAAAGAGAATAACTGATTTAAGTTTTTTAAATTCATCTGTTACTAGACAGACCATAGGCACCAACTAGGGGGGCCGGGGGCTGAGAGCCCCCCAAAATGCTCGAGTGCGATATGCTTGCCTTAATCATGGAGCCTTTGCAGCATCTGCACAACACATTAACGTGTCGCACGACTGACATCAGCACATCACACGGAATGCTGGTGTTACTTTGCATACGTCACGTGGTACCGGCCCCCTCAATTGGGGGGGGGGCAAGGCAGTGCTCTTGAGACAGACAGTGCATCAGGTGAAATCCTTAAAGTAGGTGACAGCCTTGGTGGTTACCAGCTCCAAGCCTCAGGGAGAGGATGGACAAGAACACCTGAATAAATATACCTTTATGCAGTCTCAATTGTATTTTGTCATGTGAGCAGTAATTTTACTAAGATTACTCACATAGCAAAGTCTAGACAGTGCAATTAAATGGCCCAGAATATTAATTTAAAAAAATATCTGCTTAGAGTAATATGTGTGTGGGGGGGGGATTGGTATTTCGACTTCTTGATGCTTTGGTCTCCAGATTCACATGAACTTACCTGGTCATACAAGGGAGTAATTGCTTCTGTGCTGTTGTCTTCAGGGCTTTGGAGAGCAGGAGATGGAGATGGAGGCGATGTGGCAGGTGTTGGCGATGTCAAGCACAGTTCTGGAAAATTGGCTTGGAAATTCTCAAAGCCACCTAAACATCAGAAGAGTGGAGAGTTTTTATTGTGTATCTCAATTGAGGATGAATGTTATACAGATGCAACCGTTAAGGACAATATCGGATTCAAATAGTTTATAGTAACCACACATTTCATTCAGATCTATTCATAATAGTGATTAATCTACTTTGCCTTTAAAATACACTTTCATTAAAAAGTACCTGCAGTTACACCACTATCGTGGCCACAGACTTTAACTTGTGTTTGTGATATCTTGTATGATTGATTATTTTATGCATGGATGGGCCCAGATTTTAATGCGGCCATGCTGTCAGTAACAAATGTATTTATTTGGTATCAGGTGTTGTTGTTTTTTGGTGTTCATGCAGCCTGATGAAGGTGCTACATTATGTGTCAGAGCAAGAGTGATATGGCTCTGCATGCAATATCAAAAGCAGACATGGTTACAATACTGAAGGTGCTAATCAGATTAGCGAATGACCTGTACACTTTAGCGCCAGGGCAGCCATTGCGGAAGGGATTTGTACATCCACCGCTTTAATTCCAATTTAGTTACCACTATAGCAGTCAGACTTAGCTGCAAGTAACCTTGGGAACAGCTGGGATGAGTCTGCTTGGGATACAGCAATTTTATTCCGGGACTATCCTGGCTTTATGTTAATGCCTCCTAATTAAACTAAAAAAATAAAATCCCCCCTAAAACTGAATTTTCTTCAGTTCTCCCAATTAAAGATGCAGTCGGACTCAAAGGGAAAAGGTGAGGAACTCAACTAAGCGTAAACGCCTTGCCTTGCCAAATTAAAGCCTCTGGAAAGATTGCCGTAATACATCAAGGCTTTTTATTTTTTCCTATCAAGTCAAAGCGAGGTGTTTGAACTTGAAGCAACTCCTTTCCACCCCAAAATAATTATAATTATTAATGTTATCCTGCCCTCCATCCCAAAATAGCACAGGATAAAAGTTTAATAAATATAAATAGATTGCCTCTTGACTAAGAGCTACTTAGAGCAGGCCTACTGGAATTAATGGGCCTAAAATAGTAATGTCCATTACTTCCAATGGGTCTACTCCGAGTAGGCCTAGCATTTGATGTAACCTATCATGTATGTCCATGTAGAGTGGGCAAATAGAGATGCTGTGACTGGCCCACCGTCACCTAGTGGGGTGGGGATCTGAACCACCTGGGTGGGGACCTGAACCCTTCCGGGGGCCACCATCTACTGGCCCCTCCCTTCCTTCAAGCCCCACCCCAAAGACTGACTCTCCTGGGAGAGGGTCGTATCTCGCCCCCCTCCCCCCGGAAGCCCACCTGGCGGCGCTGCTCACCTTGCAGCAGGTAGATGTGCGAGGTGCCGGCTCGCTCCTCCAGCAGCAGCGCGTTGAGCAGCAGGCGGGCCAGGCTGTCGGGGCGCAGCGCGGCCGGCGAGCGGCTGGCCTCGTCCAGCACCACCAGGTGGCTGAGCTCGCCCTTGCGCAGCCGGGCCAGCAGCGCCCGGTCGGGGAGCAGCCAGTCCAGGCTGACGGCGCTCCGGCCGCGGGAGCGGCGCCGCAGCAGCCCGTTCCAGTGCACGGGCCGCGAGTCCAGCAGGTGCGCCTGGCAGAAGGCCAGGAAGGGCCGGCAGTCCAGCGCCAGCGTGCGCGCGCTCTCCCGGGGGTCCCGCAGCAGCGCGGCCAGGCCGGAGCTCGCCAGGGGCACCACCTCCTCGATCACCATCCTTGCGCCGGCCGAGGAAACCCGAGAGCTCGAGAGAGAGAGAGGGCAAACAAGAACAGGAAAGGTGGAAGACGGTGAGCTTTTGCGCAACAGTCCCGGCGATGCTTCTCTCGCAAGCCCGCGGAGGATCCTACTTTGGTCCCAGTCTGCAGCCCAGTTCCGCGCGGGAGCTTAAGTACCGCGCCGCTCGCGGGTGGCGCTCCTCCCCGGGCCGCCATATATGGAAGTGTGCGTCACCGAGGAACTCCCAGGCCGGGCCCTTCCCCCTCACGTGGAGGGAGAGGAGCCGCGCTCGGGCCGCGGCGGTGGATCCGGAGGCAGCCAGACGGAATGAGATTATCCGCCTTGGCCCATATTGGGGAGGAACTGTTTCCTTTTCGTGCCAATCTCTTCCGTCACCAGACCTCAAAGCAGCCGCAGAGGGAAGTTCGAGACTCGCCTGCTAAGAGGATCAGCCTGAGAACGGGGAATCTGCGCCTAGTATTTCCCTTAAAACACTAAAGGACTACATGTATGTGTGAATGGGCCACTGTAGGCATAATACACTACAGAAACATTTTGCATATTTCCTTCCTTCAGCTCAAAGGGTTCTTTTCGGTGAACTGCATTTAGCAGCCAATAATCATGGAGTCAATTAACTGTCTGTGGACTTGGAAGAGACCCGAGCGTCCTCTGTTCCAACCCCTTGCAACGCAGGAATCACAGTTTCCTGTGACAGATGACCCCCCCCATCGCTGACAGATGACCCCTGACAGATGACCACCCCCATCGCTGCTTAAAAACCTCCAATGAAGGGCAGTCCACAGCCTCTCAAGGCAGTTCCTTCCACTGTCAAACAGCTCCTACCCTCAGAACATTCTTCATATTTAGTTGGAATTTCCTTTTTTGCAATTTGAATCAATTGGCCCTTCAGAGCAGCAGAAAGCAAATTTGCTCGGTCTTCCAGGGGACAACCCTTCAGATATTTGGATAGTTAGTTTTTATTTATTTACTTGATTCTCAGCTGTTGTCAAGAAACCTGATAAAGTCTTGTCTCTTTTTTCTTTTGGTGTGTTGGGCCTAGTTGATCACACAAAAGGAGTGTGTGTGTGTGTGTGTGTGTGTGAGAGAGAGAGAGAGAGAGAGAGAGATGTGTCCATCAATTGTATTTCCATCCTGTGCCCTCACCATATCACAATCATCTAAAAATTATACTTGGGAATTATTTCCCCTTCCTCACCTACACCAGTTGTCTGCTTTGTCACAACAAATTAGCACATACAATGGTACTTCAGGTTACAGACACTTCAGGTTACAGACTCCTCTAACCCAGAAATAGTACCTCGGGTTAAGAACTTTGCTTCAGGATGAGAACAGAAATTGCATGACGGCAGCGGGAGGCCCCATTAGCTAAAGTGTTACCTCAGGTTAAGAACGGTTTCAGGTTAAGAACGGACCTCCAGAACGAATTAAGTTCTTAACCCGAGGTACCACTGTACAGGCTCCCTGGGAAGAAAGAATTCAGCCAAAAGGACCGTCCTCTCCTCCTGCCAGCAGGTAGTGCTGCAGTCATTAAGTGATTCAGTCATCCAAGGATAGGCTTCTCAAGAGATTAAGACACAGCAGGGTTGCAAAATAATCTAGGATGTTCTCTCCTGATATGCATTACCTGATTTGTCTTCCCCAACCTGCAGCCCTCCTGAACTCCTGTTCAATGAAGCTGTGCCACCTGAACATACACAACAGCTGTGTCCCAAATGTACACACCTCAGCTTAACTGCAAAGTGAATGTGGCTTCTTATGTTTTGTTATTTCAGATAAAAGCTGGTCTGAGGTGAAATGCGTCCAACAGCAGTACAGTGGTACCTCAGGATGCGAACAGGATCCGTTCCAGAGCCCCGTTCGCATCCCGAATGGAACATAAGACACGACAGCACGTCTGCACGTGTCGTGTTTTGCCGCTTCCGCGCATGCGCATGATGTCATTTTTACCGCATGCGCAAGCAGTGAAACCCGGAAGTAACGCGCTCCGTTACTTCTGAGTCGCTGCGGAGCACAACCCGAAAGTGCTCAACCTGAAGCGTATTTATCCCAAGGTATGACTGTATTCCATAAGAAACTACAGGCCAGACATGGATTGTGGCAAATGTTACGTGTAAAGGTAAAGGTAAAGGTACCCCTGCCCGTACAGGCCAGTCTTAACAGACTCTGGGGTTGTGCGCTCATCTCACTCTATAGGCCGGGAGCCAGCGCTGTCCGGAGACACTTCTGGGTCACGTGGCCAGCGTGACGAAGCTGCTCTGGCGAGCCAGAGCCGCACATGGAAACGCCGTTTACCTTCCCGCTAGTAAGCGGTCCCTATTTATCTACTTGCACCCGAGGGTGCTTTTGAACTGCTAGGTTGGCAGGTGCTGGGACCGAGCAACGGGAGCGCACCCCGCCGCGGGGATTCGAACCGCCAACCATGCGATCGGCAAGTCCTAGGCGCTGAGGCTTTTACCCACAGCGCCACCCGCGTCCCCAATGTTATGTGTACTCTGCTTCAAACACCAGTGGGGGAGCACACTGGAACCAGAGTAAACAGTAATGTGTACACAGCCTAGGACTGCAGCCCTGGGCACAATTAACTTGGGTGTATGTCCCAGTTAACTCAAAGGTGCTCTGAGTAGACAAGTGCAAAATTCCACTGTAAATTGCTGTATTGAAGTCTATTCCGAATCTGCTGGGAGGTGGGGCTCAGTCAACAAGGGACAGACTAGAGGGGAGGAATATGAGCAGATTCAGGTCCTGAGGGTGAGTTTCAGCTGAGAATAAGAACTAAAAGCTTAAGCTAAAGACTTAATGAACAAATGTGAATTCCATCATCCCAGAGAAGAGAAGGAGGTGAAACTGGTAGCTACAGTGTGGAGTTCTTAACTCTTGTATACCGGAAACTGAAGGCAATAAACAACATGCTTTATTGGTTTTGATGAGGGTTATAAATATCGTATGTATTGAGTACCATTTAATAAGCAGCCTCTGTGACTTTTATAGGGAATTCCACAGTAGCATTTAGGATATTGGAAACACAACTTGAAACTGCAGAATGGAGACTCCTTGTTCATTTTTCTTAATCAATTAGGATATAGAGCAAAACAGGATCCTGAACTGGAATATTTTGAGATCCGTGTTTTTAGATCAGGTGCTGATGCTGCTTTTTATATTGCTTCTTAAATGTCTGTGCAATAAGGACTAAGCAAGGACAATAAAATACATTTCGAGGAATCACACAAGGTCATGTGAATGTATGCTCAGCTGATTTCCACGAGAAGCTGGTGATACACTGAATGAACACACAGTGGCCTTTGAGGAAGAGCATGAACCTGGTGCCTAGGGAATTTTTAAAAGGGAAATTCCCTTATTTGGAATAGGATTCTTCACAAGAAAAGGGGAAAGTTGACAGCTATGCAAATGCACACAACTCAAAACAAGCCTGTGAGGCTAAATTCAAATCACTTTACAACTGGCCACCCTAGAGCCAAATATAAAGCCATATCTGTGTTTTCCAGTGGCCACTCAGAGTCATTTTGAATGCCCCTGAAGACCAAACAATATGTTACATTTGCCGTATAGTTAGGACTGTCCCGACCGTTATCCAAGGCAAGAGCCCCATGGCTTTTCATCCCTGGTTGGCCCCCTCTGCTGCCCCCCTGTCCTGGCCACCCCAAACCAGCTATCTGTGGCTGCTATAGGTGGGGTGGGAGGTGCTATTCCATCAGAGACGGAAGGAAGATGCAGTTACCAGTTCAGTTGACTTTTGTACCTGGGAAGTTGTCATCTTGCCCTTTGCTTCAGGGGGTGAAATGTCTCATAGTTTGCCCTTGAAAAAAACAAAAGCTGTGATGGACTATATGGAATTGGCGGAAATGACCGGCAGAATCCGAGACCAGGGAGAAGAGTCGGTGGAAGAAGATTGGAAGAAATTTAAAGACTATTTACAGAAACACTGCAAAATTAATGAATGTTAGAATGATGTTCGATTGAAGTTAAGCGGTTTTTAGTAGCAATGTTATAAAGGAACATGTAAAATGGTTTGTTAACAGGTGATAATATAAAGCTATAATATATTAAGATAAAAGATTAAGATAAAATCAAAGAGGGAAAGGATATGCTGAATTAACTAATTGAACTGGAATATAAAAAAGGGAGGTGTGAGGAGGTCAGGGAAACAAGCAAATGAAAGATAAGATTTGGAAAAACTGATCTGTTTTTAACTGTTTTTACTTTGTATTTTCTTTTTTTTTTGTAAAATGTTGAAACTTTAATAAATATCCTTTAAAAAAAAAGAAAGAAAAAAACAAAAGCTGTCACATGGTGGAGTTAGGAAATCGAGCAGGATAAGGACCATGGCCTGGGGAGGGCAAGCTTAAACCTTTGTCTCTACCTCAGTCCCTCTGCTCAGCACCAGCTATTCACTAGGTGGAGAAAAGGTCCTGTTGGTGCCTATTTCTTAAAAAACAGAAAACAAAACCTACCATACAAGGGGAAATGTTGTGTCAATATGCCACTTTTAATCTGACCCTGAGTCATTTCAGTCCAGGCAAGGGATGGAAGAATCTGTCAATTTTGGTCCTCTCAGTTTTTAATTGCTCCAGTCCTAAATTCATTTCTCCACATTTTGTAATAATAAAAAAAATCATCATGAAAACTCATGAGCATTCTTCGAATACCAAATTCTTCTAATAAACATGTTTTATGTACAGTTTTAACTTATGTACACATTTTTTTGCAATCAACATCCCCTAACTTAATGCATTTTGGTATGCTATTTTCACCAAGACATTCATTTTTATGCCCACTTTCCCAATCTTTACACTGAATTGGAGCAAAAGTCATTTGGGTTTTCCAAGGATTGCTGTTTGTTCCAATTCAGCTGTAAAGAGTGTGTTTTCTAGGGGAAAGCTGCAGGGCAAATACAAAACGGCTCAGACCCATGCCTAGAAAGCATGGAACAAGTGAAAAATTGCTCAGACCTGTGCTTCCTGCATTGCATGGGGTTGGACTAGATGATTCTCCGGGACCCTTCCAACTCTATGATTCTATGATTTCTAGGCATGGGACAAGTGGAAGTGTTGCCAAGCTCATTGTTTGGTTGGCAAACTGCATTGCAAAATTTAGGTAAGTGCAAATTTTGGGCAATAGCTGTATTTTGGTTCCCATATTGTTTCAGAAACTGCACATTTGATCGATTTGGCTTAAATGAAACATGAATGGAATTTCGTTCTCTCCCCGCCCCCTGAACCAGGCCTGTCCAGTTGTTCCAGTATACCTGAAGGAGCGTCTCCACCTCCATCGTTCTGCCCGGACACTGAGGTCCAGTTCTGAGGGCCTTCTGGTGGTTCCCTCATTGCAAGAAGTGAGGTTACAGGGAACCAGACAGAGGGCC